GCGCCAGCCAATACCAGCCAGCGCCAGCCAATACCAGCCAGCGCCAGCCAACGCCAGCCAGCGCCAGCCAACGCCAGCCGCTTCACCTTCTCTCCCCACAGACTTTTCTCTTTCAGTTATAAATGTCACGGAAACCGACTATGTTACATTTAGCAATAACTGCCATTTTTCATCCGATTAAAAGGCAAATTGCCTCATTCTTTTCTGCCCTTTTGTGTTTAATGAGAGTATAGGGCTGCCATTTAAAAGCCTTTTGTCTCGGTGTCTGAACAGAATTGTGTGCTTCTGTGACAATGTGTGTGTGTGTTGCATAGTTTTTGTGTGTGTGCATGTGTATGAATTTCCCCTTTGGTTTCTAAAAGAAGGCCGTAGACAAAATCGCATATCACCTTTGGTTGTGATGTCATGGGTGTAATGTCATGGCGCAATGTCATAGTAAGGATGTCAAGGATGTGATGTCATAGTAATGATGTAATGTGTGTGATGTCATATTCACCTCCTTCAGCGAGACCACCCCGATGAGCCGGCCGATGCTGGTGACATAGGCGTGGTCCAGACCCAGCAGTGAGAAGATGGTGTGGGTCTAGGGTAAGAGCAGAACAGTCAGAAGTTAGGAAGAGTTCCAGCCTAACCAACAGAAAAGTTCAAAACGTTCCTCAAGAGATGAGGGAAAAGGCTGTTATACCATTAGAGGGGATTCTTTGTAAGCACTCCGGTAGAAGCCTGCAGAGATAATGCCATTTACGTCATGGACCTTGGGACTAAGACAGGTACCTTATGCAGTGATGTGCGTTCCACCAGCTGAAAAGGGGCGGGGTCAATCTTGCAGTTGTTGAAGTTAACCCGCTCATCCAGCTGCTGCTCCTCCCATTCAGTGATCTGCAGTAGGATGCAATAGGTTCTCTTTGAGGGAGGCGGGAACAAGCTCTCCTCTTCAAGCTAAATGTTAAATGACAGCTTGCACATCACAGCTGTTTACATCCCTGCCTCTTCTAGGGCATCCTGTGCCAACAATCAATACTGACAGGATTGAATCCTGCTCTTTCACATTGCCCACAGCGCCCCCAGTGGACGCCAGAGGTGATACACATACTCGAAAGCTGTCAACCTCCATCAGCTGAGTATGTGTCATAGACTGTAACGAAATGTCCTGTAGACAGGAAAATCAATATGCCTCCCTGTCAAAGTGCTGTTACACATATATTTTGACCTTGGGGGAAACACGCCCAGAGATGCCAATCCTTTGTTGTAATTCACTGCAGCTAAGAGCTGCACGTTAAGACTTTAAACCCAAATGGGCTGCAGGCAGTCAGACCCAGCCCTCACAGAGGCAACCCCAAGACGGGGATAGGCTACTCTGAAAGCAGAAGATGATTTCTCACCTCTCGGAGGGTCATATCGTCCTCCAAATCCAGGTCATCCTGAAAGAAGACCGGCAAAATGAGCGCACACACATTATTTTGGCAGATATCACACAGCTGACTGGACTCCATGCTGAGGCCATTTTCACACACACAAAAAAAAAAACTGGCCTCACTCCCAGTTTGTCTGGAGGACTGGGCAGAATAACCAGGGGACACTGTGAGTGGTTACAAGAAGGGGTGAAGTCCAGCAAAGTGGACAGACAGAACCAATCGAACACTGATCCAAAGAGAGCCGGAGTGACACTCTGCGTTATTAACTGTCAGGATGCATCAGGGATGCTCTGACTCGTCTGGGCTGCAGCTGGGGCTTTTCCCACAGATGTGCAGCGTGACGGAGAAACTCACTGTAGGACAGGCTACGCCCCTCTCGCAGCGTCCGCCGAGGGCCCCAGCTCCGGCCTGCAACGCTTTGTGGGTCACTGGGACACCGGGACACCGGTCCAAACCGTACACACAGCGCAGACACACACACGGATTTAGAAGCCACAATGAGCAAATGAGCGGGTGGTGAATAATAATGAATCCTCGGAAGAAAGGGCTCAAGATCTTTATTCACTTTTCGGCTGAGCGATGCAGGTGTAGCCTGTGGATGGTGGCTGCCCGTTGCTGGCTGAAGGGGGGGGGGGCAACGAGAGCCAAAGGGCCTAGGAAAAGGCAAGTCCAGTCAGAGGCAGACGTTTAACACGCCGAGAAGCAAGATGCTTGTGTACATCACTTCCTGTCTGGAGTCCAATAAATTCTATTCAACTTCCTGTCTTGTCTGCAGAAAGAAGAAAGATGCCCCCCCCCCCCCAAAGGATATCACAGGACAAGCACCCTCCCGTTTCAGCCCAGCAGAGACGCTGATTATCCGCACTGTTTCCTGTAATGGTTTTAAAACTTCATTCCCCAAAATGGTACGACTGATAGAGTGTGATACGCCAACACACCACACAGGGATGAGCCCAGGCTTCACGCGTGTGATATTTCTTATAAAATATTTACTTATCCATCCATTTCATACACCCACTTGTCCTATGCAGGGTCCTAGGGGTCTGGAGCCTTAAGTATTTATTAAAACATTAATTATAATATTTTGCCAATATAACTTGTATATACGCCAATGAACCGTTGTGAAAGAGATAGAGGGAGGGAGGACCTTCCACTCTGAAAACCAACGACAGATGAACAGTGGCACAATGAAAGCGATGGCGAGGAGATCGTACATGTTTCACGACACTTTGGAAGCAAACGCTGAATGCTGAACTGACTGGACAGCCCATTCCAATGAGAATCTGATTGGTGGACATCAGTATCAGTGGGCGGGCCAAACAACTGATTGATGGATCATTTGACTGATGAATGGGTATCGGTGGGTGGGCTGATCATCTGATTGGAGGATTGTTTGATGGATGGGTGTTGGTGGGTGGACTCATCATCATACTGGTGCATCATCTGATTTATGGACAGGTATAGATGGGCAGGTCAATCGCCATGACTGATGGATTGTTTGATGGATGGGTATCGGTGGGCAGGCTGATCATCTGATTGGTGCATCATCTGATTTATGGACAGGTATAGATGGGCAGGTCAATCGCCATGACTGATGGATTGTTTGATGGATGGGTATCGGTGGGCAGGCTGATCATCTGATTGGTGGATCATCTGATTTATGGACAGGTATAGGTGGATGGGCCAATCACCTGACCGATGAATCGTTTGATTGATGGATATTGATGATCATCTCATTGGTGGATCATCGGATTAATGGACAGATAGAAGTGGCCAGGTCGGACGTCTGATTGGTGTATATGCTCTGGTTCTGTATGTTCTTACCACAACGGAGATCCTGACTTGTTTGGGCTTCCTGTTCTCAGAAGCCACTGCCCCATCATTACTCTTCGCAGCAAAAAAAACAGACAAGCGCAGGAGATTCGGCATTAACACCACGTTCACACAACGCTCACGCCGCGCTGGGGTTACCCATCTTCGCCCAGCATCAGATGCGGTGCGTGGAGAGCATGCTGGAGACCAGATAACACAGGTCACACCTTTGGCACTGAGGAACCACCCTGCTGTCGCTATTGCTGACAGTCGCAATAGCCTGCATAGCAGTGGGGAGAACCAGGAACAGGACCAATGCGTGTTTACAGGTGCATTTCCTCAGCACAGGCGTAGGGGGCGGACTTAAGCCTCACCTCGGCGGTGTTGGCGTCAGGGTGAGCACAGAACAGGCTTTTCAGGGCCATGCCGGTGTTTTCCTGGGGACCTGGGGGACAGAGGGACGTCTGGCTTGAGGACAGTAAACAGTGAGAGCGCCATCATGTGGACATGCACTCGTAAGACCTACTGGCTGGTGTCTCCACGTTGTTCCTCTCCACCACGGATGACCTCTTCAGAGCCGGTTTCAGCGGCTTCTGGGATGCGGTGTGCGAGGGGCTGAAGGATGACTCTTCCGTGGAGATCTGAACGCACGTCATCACATGGACAAGAAAACATGTCATCATGGCCACACGCAGCCCAATTTTAGACTATTTAAATATTAATCTACTGGGGGACTATCAGAAGCACAATTAAAATAAAATTTAACTAACGAGAAATGGGAGGGGGAGGGAATTAGGACATGCAGACTGCTCCGGGCTGGACCACTATCAAAATCAATAAGAGCAGACTTAGATGTCTGGAAATGGACGTATTTATGGCAAGTTAGTGCAGAGCTCACCTCAAAATGGGCCAAACAGACACACACAGAAATCCGACAGCACCCCCCTCAGGCTGGGCCAAGTCGAACCTCACCTGGAAGCGGACCTCTTGGTTGACCTTCTGCACGGGCTCCTCGACCGCCTGGCTCTTCTTGGCAGACAGGGAACGCTGGCGCAGGAACTCCAGCCTGCGCGGACGGCCCAGCTGCTGGGAGAGGAGGGCCTGCAGCTGGGAACGCTCGATGGAGCCCAGCAGGATCATGGAATCTGGGGGAAGGGGGTTAGGGATGAAGACCACGGAAAGCGGAGAGCGGAGGGGCAGTGCGACTCAGGGTCAGGCAAACATGGGGCCGAAGCGTGTCACACAAGAGGGGGGGTTCCAGGATGGTTTAAAAACTCCCTACACTTCCCCTACTAAATTAATTCTTTATTAAAAAGTATATTCTCCCCCCCTTTTCTCCACAGATGGAGACGCGAGGCAGATGACGTGGATTTTGACGGCTCTTTGGGCTTAAGACAACCACAAGAAGATGACGGGCTGCTCTGCTTATCCTGTCACAGCCATTAGTGGCAGCTGGTTGCTGAGCTGGACTTTCTTCACCAGCCTGGTTGACCGCAACCAGGTTGCTATAGTGAGGAATTTCTAGATCCCACCCTGACTGAGGGGGGTGGGGGGGGGGGGGGGGCAGCATCTCCCCCCCATCGTCCTCAAACTCACCTGCGGACTCCACCAACGCCAAGGTCTTCAGCTGTCCTGTCAGCAGGACCTCATGAAGGTCCCTGTAGCAGCAGTTAAGCGTGATATAGCGCACGTCACGCACCATGATGTCCTCTACGCGGATGTTGTACTTCCTGTAGGGGGGGGGCAGGAGAAGATTAGTGTCCCATATGATGACGACACACGCGCACACACACACACACACACACACACACACACACACACACACACACACACCATCATCCAAGAAACTTGGGGCTGAAGGATGAGTGGCCATAAAATTAGCTGCAGAGGAACAGATCCAGGGCAGCGTCTTACAAGGACGGTGAAGCTGAATGCTGACTGGCCATCTAAGCAGAGACAGCAGCTTCCAGCTGAAGCCTGACCCCCCCGACCCCCGCCTACACACCGCCCCCCCTCCCCCGGCAGAACCGTTGCCCCCAGCACATGCCGCGTCTTCACCACGTCTGCACCGAAATGCTCCACCTGACATTACATAAGCGTTCCTGCTCTGCGTGGCGCTCCGTTAAAAATACCACTCCAAACCAGATGGCTTTGTGAAAAGGGAAAAAAAAGGACGGATGAAAAGGGAGCCAGAGGAGTGAGTCAAATGCTCCATGCGAACGAGCGGAGCTACGGTGCCCACAGTGCCGTTTGTACCCCTGATACATGGCCCCGGGGCCCCCTGGGGCCACCGGCACAGCAGGCCGCTCATGTGTGACAGGGGGTGCAGGGGGAGCCCAGGAGAGACGGGGCAAAACAGCCAACAACATGGGAAGTTCCAAGAGAGAAGCAGGACACCATCGCACACAGGAAGGCAGACAGGGAGGCCAGGAGACAGACAGGGAGGTAGACAGAGAGGAAGACAGACAAGCAGGGAGGAAGGAAGGACAGACAGACAGGCAGAGAGAGGCAGGCAGACAGGAAGACATGGAGACTGACAAGAAGACAAAGATGCAGATAGACAGGAAAGAAGACAGACATCTCAGGCATGCAAGTGATAAGCAGGACTGAAGTCAGACAATGAGGCAGGGGGCATCGCTTTACTCTGTCATGCCACAGGAAAAAAAAAGATAACAGCTCTTAAATATCCAGGAACAAGCGACACTAAAAGATTCATGTGATATTAAAAATAAATTAGAGGAGATGAGAAAATCTGAACAGGTCTAAAGAATCACACTGTAACAGCCAGAGCAGTAAAAGGCAGCCCTACACCCCTTGGAATGATTTATTACTGCAAAGCAGAGCATTAAAGCGGGTCATTAATACACGCTGCAGGCTCGTGTTGCCGGAACCCGTTACTACACACACCTCCTGTTTACTGATGATCCGCAGAACCTGGCAACCGCGTGCAGCAGATCAGCAGTTTACACTCAGCCCCCTGGGGGAGGGGTGCCCGCAGAAAGCCGCGGGACATGCGGGGAAAGACGTGGCGAGACCAAGGGCCTATAGATCGCCACAGGGCGCGCCAGGAAAGTCATGGTGCTTACAGAAAGCCGCAGGGCATTCTGGGAAAGACGGGGGGCACCGACAGAGCTGCGGGGCATGCTGGGGGAAACCGAGAGCCTATGGAGTGCCGCAGGGCATCTTGGGAAAGACTGGGCACCTACGAAAAGCCATTGGGCATACGAGGAAGCTGAAAAACTCTCGCCTGACTCACACAGCCATTAAGAAGGGAAGCGGAGTGAAGCAGGATTCCAGGGCCAGCTTCAGAGTTCAGACAGCCTAAGAAAAGATGGGCTAAGATGCAGGAAGCTGGCGGAGGATAAACAAGACGGCAGGAAAGTAGGTGACCTGCAACAGGTGACCGACAGTGAAGGAGAAATGAGACTGATTCGCTGAAAAGCGCTTGAGGGCAAATCTGACCACGTCACCCATCTGCTGTACGCACAGAGGGCCGCTGACGTGAAAATCCAGGCCGCCGTCCTTGGAAAAAGGGGGTTGTGGGGGACTCGGAACAGAGGACACTATTTGGGAAAAGCGGAAAGGGAGAGGAGGATGAAGGTGAGAAGGATAATGAGCAAAACGGGGAGGAAGGTTAAAGCCGAGCAAACACCGTCCGTCTGCGGCAGGACAGGGACCACGAAACCTCAGCCTAAGCTAAGGGCACAGTCCTACAGATCCTCAATGGACCCACCTGTCTGTGTGACCCACTGCCCTGGGCATGTGCCAGGGTGGGGCGGCGATCAATGCGAGTCCAGTGTGTAATAAAGAGAGTGACAACCACCCCCCATATGCATCATGTACTGCCCCAACTGAAAGCTGATTGGCCACCCCGGTGCTCCGCCCCTTTCAATGACTGATTAAAAACACATCATTGGCTAATAAGCCCAGCCCCTCTGTAGGAAGTACGGACTACGGGAAGAGGAGGGAGGGAGGGAGAGATGGTGACAGAGGGACTGACTCGTGGTGTCCCCAGCCAAGCTCAGGCAGGTATGGCAGCTTCTTGATGCGGATGATGGAGTCATAGAGCGACGGCTGCAGGCTCTGCGCCACAGCGTTGGCCAGGATCACGGCGATCATCACCGGCAGGATGTGCGAGATCTGGCCCGTGAGCTCGAACACGATGACCGCCGTGGACACCGTGTGTGTGACAGCGCCGGACAGCGCCGCTGCACCTGTGTCGGCAACGAGACACGGTTAGGGACAAGGACGACGCCCAGAGGCCGGCAGGCAGCAGAAGGGTGACGCCCCCAAACTCACCCACTACCGCGTAACCGCCAGGCACGATGGGGTAGATGGTTCCGTCGGTGTGGATCCCGTCGGGGAACCAGGCGGCCATGCTCTCGCCGACCAGCCGGCCAAATGCTGCACCTACATACACACACGATGGTGAATTGGGGGGGGGGGTCACGTGTTCAGGCCTCTAACTGACCAATCAGGGAAGACGATCTTACCAATGACAAAGACCGGCATGAAGGCTCCACAGGGTACGGGAATAGTGGTAGCGAGAGCAGACATCCAGAACTGAAGAGAGAGAGAACAGCATTGGTCACTCTGCACACCTCCGGCGAATGGAGAGCAGATGCGGAAGCACACCCCCCCCCCCCCCTCAGCTGGGGATTGAGATGTGAAGCCAGGAAGACCTTTTAATTACACCCCTCTCCCTAGTTAGCGGTAATTAACCACAGCGGCGGCTCTCGGCTAATTCTGAAAGGGGCAAGGCTCCCTCCGGGTGGGGCATGCCTTCGACCTTTAACCTTTCAGGGGCCAGTGAGCTCCTCAGCACCGACACAAGGAGGGAGCACAGGGTCAGAGGCAGATGAGTAACATCATCCGCCGTGCCGACGACCAGCGATGTTCAGATAGAGAGAGAAGGGAGCGTCATTAACGGGGCTCTGCAGCAGGGTGGAGCGATGAGGTTACGGAGGGGGGGGGGTTAAAGACGGGACGGGCTGCTTCTGGGTGGAGGAGAGATGAAGTTAGAGGACAGGCTGGCGGTTGTGGACCTGGAGTTGAGTCATGATGATAACTGACAGGAGGACTGTCACCATACAGGAGACCGAGGGAGTGACAAAACTGAGAAGGTCCTTTCAAGATGTTCAGAAAAGTTCTATGTGAGAGACTGTTATTGAGCTTGCGGTAGAGCAAGCAAGACCAAAGGAGCCGACTCGATGGTGAGATTGATAACACAAGGACAACCATCACAATACAGAAACGATCAGAGCAGGCAGACCCACACGAGATGGCATACCTTCATCACGATGAAGAGGACCAGGGTGACGAAGACATTGACCTGCGGGTGCTTCCATTCCTGCGAGTGGCCCATGTAGTCGAACTCCTCCGCGATGCCCTGCTTTGCCCACGTGCGGTTGTCCAGCAGTGTCACTAGGGACTCCTTCTGGGTCAGCTGTGGGTGAGAGGTCAACTAGGTGATCATTTGTGCATCAGAGTCATCGACCTACAGGATGACGGGTCTCGTACCACTTCCAGGAAAACCAGGCCAGAAGAAGAGGACCTGCACCTCAACCAGTCCTGTACAAACTTTCACAATACCGAGATGATAACAGTGCGTCTGTAACCCTCAGACAGTTGCTGATTCATGCCTGTTCTGCACCCTGCAAACCTTCCGCTCACCACCGCGCCTCACAGGTCTAAAGACAGGGGGCGCTGTCGAGCACCACGCCTGTCATCACTGGCATTCACAGCACAGGTACTAGCTGGATGGGGTGGGGGCTCAAAAAGCTGCATCTGCAGCAGGCACAAAGAGGAGGGGGGCACAGACACTCACACAAAGGCGCAGACACACACACACACACACACACATGGAGCGGAAACAAGGTGCCGCCAAGCTGGCGTCTGTCCCTCACAAAAAGCCAACAGCTCAGGCGATCCAGCCCCCTCCCCCCCCCCCGGACCCCCACCTCAACTCCTCCTGCAGGCGCTTTATGCCTCATCGCTGGTGGCCCCGCAGAGCTGTGCTAAATATGGATCGCGAGCCGGATGGAGGAAGGAGCCGGCGTGACAGACACCGTGTCCATGACAACCCCAAGAGCGGCCAGGTGACGGCCTCCATCTGTGCCAGACGGTCCACGCTCGCCTGTCATTCTCAGGCCCCTCCCACAGCCTTAGGCCCTGCCCACATCTCATTCTGTGCCATTTCAATATAGTAATCACTATAATAATCACTGTTAACCACCATTTGTACATGACACATACATACACACACACACAGACACACACACACACAGACACAACCTACCTTCCCAGCCATAAACTGTCCAAACCCAGGAGGAAAGGTCAGAGTGGAGACAAGGAGAGTGACCAGGGCAGGGTACAGCAGTCGCCTGGGACAGGGACAGAGAGAGACACGTTACCGCTGAGGCTGGTGAAAGAAGAGGGGAAGGGAAAGGAGCCATTGCCACTATGGTGAGAAAGAGAGTGACATCGCCTTTACAGCCAGTGGGGGAGTGACAGAGAGACATTAATATCAATGACAGTGTGTAGCCTTCATTAAGATAAGCATAGCCACACCCACATCACATCCTGACCACACTCATATCACATCCTGACCACACTCATATCACATCCTGACCACACCCATCCCACCCAGAGGCCATGCCCATATCACATCCTGACCACACTCATATCACATCCTGACCACACCCATCCCACCCAGAGGCCATGCCCACATCACATCCTGACCACACCCATATCACATCCTGACCACACCCATCCCACCCAGAGGCCATGCCCACATCACATCCTGACCACACCCATATCACATCCTGACCACACCCATCCCACCCAGAGGCCATGCCCACATCACATCCTGAGCACACCCATATCACATCCTGACCACACCCATCCCACC